GTATTGATTTTTAATTTTTCCTGTCCGCCATATTGGATCTGACATTTAAAATTTTTAAAAACTTATATCAGATTCGAAATCAGCGACCCTGAAAACCCCCGAGTAACGATTTTCAAGCGAATCCGAACGATTATTTAAAAATTCGTCCGCTATATTGGATCGGCCATTTTGAATTTTCCAAATCAGACGTCTGATTTGTAATCAGCTATCTCAAAAACCTAAGAATACCCAGTAATACTTAAATTAAATTAATTACTTTTTTTGTATTGTACACTCAAATTTGCCCTGTCGAAAAAGGTGTAAACAAAAAAATGCGTGTGTATGCAAAAACTTCCTGAAAAAACCTAGATTTTTGATAATTTAAAAATTAAAATATTATTTTTAAAACTGTTTTTATTCTCCGATTTAAAAAAAAGATTTCAATAAAATTGAACTTTCTTTTACAAAATTTTTAATATTTTAGGAAAATGCATGTCATATAGATAGTTTTCTACACCCTAATAAAATTTAAAAAAAAATATTGTTACCATGATTATTCTCATTATAGTATTTTTTTTATCTTCTGTAATATTATATTTATTAATTGAAAAATTATTATTTTTACATCCCGAATAAGAAATATAAAAAATTTCGAAATTTGAATAACAACATCGTATATAGGTATATTATAATGGTTTAGATAACGACTGAATAAACAAATATGGATTTTAATTAAAGTAACTGAGCCGTGTGTATGTGTGTCTATGTGTTGGTTTTCGAATTGATTGGAAAGTTGGATAATTTATTTATATTCTATTTTTCTTTTTGTTAATATACCGGGGGAAAGATTTCCTGAATGAAAGTTTTTTAATTAGGAGGGCTCGATAATTAAGAGTACAGCTTTGATGAAGCTTCGGCAGATAATTTCGGCCTGAACGAGTTTACTTTGTAAAAGAGGATGATGCGCGTATATGCTTGAATTGCAATCGATATAGTTATCCGTCGAAGTGGCGCCGAAAGAAGTTCTTTATTATACATATATATACATATATACAGAACATCACACTGGACCCTTATATTTTTTTTCTCAAATAACCTACGGCACAATTTAAATATTATAGGTATACAAAAATAATTATAAAAACTCGAAAAATAGTTATTTATGATACAAGTGCGTAAAGTAAATGATTATAAGAGTGTGACATTTGCAGCACGAGGCGAAGTAGCCGAGTGATACAAATCACACGAGTATAATCAAATTTACGTATGTGTATCATGAAACATTTTTTGCTACACCCACCTCTAAAGTTAAGTACCTATTATGAAGAATTCCAACTCTCTATTAGAATAATTTCGATTGTATAGAATTAAAAAAATCAATCGAAGATCAGGAAAAATATCATTAAGCAGTAGGGTATAAATTTAAAAGTAAAGTTCGTTCTTTACACAGAAAATTAAAAGGCATTAAAATAATAAGCGTTACAGCTTATTTTAATACCTTTTAATTTTCTGTGTAATTTTGTGGTTTTGTATGGTCTAAAAAAATCCTTATATTATGTGAGAAAAATTTCAGTGCGTAAAGTGAATCACTTTGCACATCGTTTTAAAAAGAGCTTCTTTACACACACTTTTCGGTGTGTAAAATTTAACTTTAGAGGTTAGTGTTGCAAAAAAACTTTTTTAACACAACAGATTTTAACTTCAGCTAATTTTTTCTAATTCTAAACTGAAAAAAAGTTTATTTTTATTAAATAAATATTTATTTAATAATAGTCAACTAACCGATTATTTGAAACCATTTTTTTTTAAGTTTATATAATCCCAAAAACTCATGAAAAATAATTTTTCATTATAATTTATAATATAATTATGCATTTACTATTTGGTAAATTATTCATTAAAAGTTTGGAAAATTTTTTTTTTATGTAAAATCCACTCAACATTTTAATATGTAAATTTTCATTATTTTAGAAGCTGTCGAGAGAATATGTAGGACAAAATTGTATTACATTTTCAATTTTGGGACAAAGGTATATAATTAAGTCACTTTTAACATTAACGACTAATGAAGTTGAAATAATTTGTGCACTTTGTGGAACAAAAAAAACGCATTTTGAAAAAAATAGATCATTCCTTTCTTCAATAAAAGTAATCTATCAAGTAAAACTTATCACAAACAGTATAATTAATCATTTATCTTTGTTCTTGTTCTATATAAGTAGAGAAGTTTGTTTGTGGTCAGACAAACTTTGTAACGATCAGGATGAGTTCAATTTTCATTTGAAAACTTGTGTTTATATAGAAAGTTTATTTTTGCAATTAAATTTAATTTAATGAAATTCTATTATATCCGCACATTTGTTTATAATTTAAATTTTCATTCAACGATTATTTAACACACATATTGTGAAGGTAAATTTAATTATAAAAGAACGTATAATATATAAATAAAATGGATATACGATTGTGAAAATTAAATTATAACTTTAAATATTTATAAGAATAGAATTTCTGGAGGATTTATTAAATGTTTGCCTCGAGTCTTAATAAAATTCTTCAAGAAATTCTAGAACATCTTGAAGAACTCTTCAAGGAAAAATATACATTCCATGGCAGAAGTATAAATATAGTTTCAATATTATTTACTTTTGAATAAAAAAATTTCTATTATTACGAATGTATTTTTCAAAATGTCCTTAAGAAAAATATTATATTATAGAATTATGACTTAAAAATTACAATTTAATGAATTCTCTACAATCGTCAACTTTTTTCAATTGTTAAAAGTATATTTTTAAAAAATTATGATAACAATACAAATTTTATTTATTTAACCCTAGAAAGAGTAACTGGGGTGTCTAGATACCCCAGTTACCCTTTAGAGGGTAAGAAAATTCATATACTTCTTCTAGGGTTAATAATTTTTTTAATAATATACTTTTAACAACTGAAAAAAGTTGACGATTGTAGAGAATATTATAATAATGTAATATTATAACATTTGGATAAAAATTGCGATTTTTGACTGTTCTATAAAGAAAAAACTGAAAATATTTAAAAAATAATTATTTAACAGAAGATTTGACTTAAGTCAATTAAAATTTCTAAAAATTGATTTAAAACTTAAGTCAATTAAAATTTGGAGAAATTGAAATTCGGATAATTTAAAACTTAAATCAATTAAAATTTGGACAATTTAAAATTGGCATAATTTAAAACTTAAATCAATTCAAATTTGAATAATTTGAAATTTAAGTCAATTAAAATTTGGACAAATTGAAATTGGGATAACTTGAAAGTTAAATCAATTAAAATTTGAGTTAATTGGAATGTGGATAATTTGAAAATTAAGTCAATTAAAATTTTGAAAAATTGAAATTGGGATAATTTAAAACTTAAGCCAATTAAAATTTGGATATATTGATATTCGGATAATTTAAAATTTAAATCAATCAAAATTCGTCTAATTTGATACTTAAGTTAATTAAAATTTAGACAAATTGAAGTTTCGTTAAGTTTAATAATCGATCGATTGAATTTGCATTAAAATTAAAATTGTAATTATAATAAATTTCGTTCATTGACCAATAAAAATTAAAATTGATTGAAAATATCAATAGAAATTTAAATTCAAATTCAATTAGAAATGAAATTTGGATCGTTTAAAATTTGTATCGAATTTAATTAGGGGAGATCGGGGCTGAAAGTACCGGGGGTAAGTTGTGGATTGTTGGAAAAAAAATTCTCTTTAACTTAATAAATTATTTTTACTATAAATCAGAGTTTTTGAAAGATTCAAGGTTTTTGATATTTAAAATTTTTTCTCTAAAATTAAGGAATATTAGTTAAAAATTATAATTTTGAGTTAAACATTTATGAATTCAAATAAAAAAAATATCCCAAAGATTAATCTTTAAATTCAAAAAAGTTAGACGCGGTATAAAAAAAATTGAAAGTGGTACACTGTAGTACCGCTGTGCTTCAAAGGGTTCAGTAATAAAAATATACTGTTAAAAATAAGTTTCCTTGTAATTTATAAAAAAAGGTAATAATTCATGTAAACAGTTTTAAGTGTTTCAATTTCATATTTTTTGTTTTCAAAAAAAAATTGCATTTTTTTTTTCTTTGAAGAAGAAATTTTTCTAAGAAAATTGAACAAAAAGAGAATTGTGACAGTGTGTTTGATAGCTGTTAAATAAAGAAGGTATAATAAAAAAAAAAAAAATTTTATAGACAGGAAGATCAAAATCCGGATCGAGGCTCTCTCTTGTTTTCAGAGGAGCATAAAGTGGAATCGATCCTGAAGGATAAAAGGCGACGTCTCGACGGACCCTGGCGAATATTCCCTGTCTGACTAGTACCTCTCTATTTTCACTGAAAATCACAATGTGGAAGGGTGCTTTTTCCCCAACCAGCCAATGTTTTTATGAAAGCTTGTATGTGGCGTCGGAGAGGGCGCCGTTCTGACGACGCTCACCAGTCGCCCCTGGACGCTTCAAAGGGGTAGAATCACTCTTTAAAAGAAAATTTCATTATCAACCAAAAAGGCGATGTCCAAACGAAATTTTGCCTAAATAAAAACATTTTTTTTCACCCCCCAACAAAATGTTGTTACGCCCTCAACAAGAATTATGATATTCAGTGGATATTCTTTTTTACATGAAATTATCGCGAAACAAAGGTACAATTAATTCTTTATAAATAAAAAAAAAAATAGTGCGCCCTATTTGTTTATACATCTATAGGAAAATATAAATTTGTTTTCTAACACTTATTTCGTCATATCTGCTTTTTTTCTTTTAAATTACATCAATGTGCAATAATGTTTTTTTTTAATTTTTTTTTTTTTTTGCAAAAAGTTGAAAAATTTGTTTTTGAAAAAAAAAGAAAATTTTAAGTGTGTAAACTAATAAAGTTTTGAAAATATTTGTGAAAAATGAAAGTTTATGTTAGATAGACTAAAAATATAATTTTGTTATAATATTTCGGTAATTTTTTCATTGAAAAAAGTGGGAGTTGATATTTTTTTTTGTGAAGGGTGAAAGTTTTGCCGACGGTTCCATAAGACGGGGAAACCTTAAAAAAATAGAAGCAACTGGTGATTTACGCACGTGCTTAAATTACTCTTGGAAAAAAAGGTAATTTGCGTAAAAGAGATAATTTGATTTTTAAAATATGAGAGTAAGTTTTTCGAAATTTAACTTTTTTAAAATAAAAAAATTAGTCTTTAGATCCAATATAAAAAAAATTATATTGATAGTTTATGAAAAACGAATTTTCTTACATTTTGTAAAATATAATTTTAAAAAATAAGTTTCTTTTACCAAAACAGTAATCAATATATATAAACATTCGAATGATGAAACAGTTATAATAAGTATTACGAAATAATAATATTGATTAATAAAATAAATAACTATTATACAATCTTCAGGAATTAATTAAAATTAAATTATTATCAATTATCATTATAATTACATGATGTTTGAAAAAATTATCAAATCTTCTATAATTTTTATATGCTTAAATTTTATTACATAGAATTAATTTTAAAAAAATGATAATATTGTGAGTAAAAAATATTAAAATCAATGTTACACAACTTGTTTTTCAATTTTCAGTATTATTTTTTTCTTTTTCTTCTATTTTTCTATCCTTTCCTTTCATATGATTTTTATTCTAGCTATTTATAAATTTTATTATTATTTCAGAACTATTTTAAGACTTTATATTTAATGAAAAATATTTTGTTCTTTATTCAGATATAAATATTTATTTAAATTTCTTTGAGTTTTTTTCTTCATTTCAATTTTTAAAGAATTTACAATGATAATATGGGGAAAATTACAGCAAAAGGCAATAATCCAATTGGATCTCATTCCTGAGGGAAAACCTGTTTCATATTTTACAATTGTTACTTCATTTTTAAGTAGGTCAATTTTTATCTGAAACTATTTTCTAGCTAGATTGTTTACTTTTATATTTCAAAAAAAAAAAAAAATTTCCTTTATTATCAAAACGAGCGTTTTAATATCGAATTAAAAAGGATTGCAATAGAAACCAATTTGATTTAAATCACAATTTAAATCAAAGGGTCATTTATATTTAAATCCTGATTTAAATTAAGAGTCGTTTACATTAAAATTTTTTAAACATTTCTTAAAAAAATTATTTTTAATATATTCTTTACATTCAATTTTCTATATTCTAAGGTTCAAAATTCATTTTTTATTAGCGAATATTCTGTTGACATTTTATCCAGAGTTATTTATTACTTTTTAAGAATAAATTTTTTTAAATATGTATATGGCTTTTTGAAATATTTCTTTAAAAATTTTTTTATAACGTCAAAACCATAACAATCATTTATTTATTTATTTACAGTTACTAACCAACTTAAACAAAATTAAACTACCCTTTCGTACAACAAAATTATTAAAATAATATATAATATTCACATTATTGCACAAATATTTAACAGGGTGTTCAGTACATTTGTTAAAAAAACTTCTTTTATTTTTTAATTTTTTTTTTTAACTATTTGAGTATTAATATTTTTGATTTGATTTTTGAGTCGAAATCAAAACATAACAAAATTTTTCTAAAATTTTTTAGATTAAATAAATAATAAATACTATTATTTTTATATTCAATGTTTTTACTTTTGTTATTTTAATTATTTATCATTTCTCTTTGACTGCTTTCTTTACATTGAAGAACTTTCTTTTTGTTATTTTTTATATAAAATTTTGTTATCAAAAAAATTTATAAAAAATTAAAATTTTTTTATTACATAACAACAAATTTTAGTTCATTATTTTGTTTATAACATTTTTCTTAAACATTAAAAAAATTTGTATTTATACAAATTAACAAACTTAAAACAAAAATTTATGTGCAAAATAACAAATTTAAAAAAGATTTATGTAAAAAATAACAAAAAAAAAAAAAAATTTTCAATGTTCAAAATAATAAACTACATTTTATTCAATGGGAAAAAAGTAAGAAAAATTATAAATAATTAAAATAACAAAAGTAAAAACATCGAATTCAAAAATAACAATATATTTATGTTTTATTCAATCAAACATTTGTTTGAAAAATTTTATGTAATTTTGACACTTTTGTTGAATTTAAATCTTAAATAAGAAAGACATTAAAATATCTTTGAAATATTAAAAAAAAATTTATGAAATAAAAATCACAATTTTTTTATACATAGCTATCATCGACAAAGAAAGGAATATATAATAGAAAAATGAATCACATGAAATATCGATGAAACAAGTTAATGTATATTTCAATTTCAATTTCTCCAATATCGCAAGATTTGCTTTTATATATATTTACTTTAAAATATAAATTTGCATTATGGTATACATATTGTATAATAAAATTACGTTTTCTAGGCAATGAATTCAAACATGAAAGAAAGGATGAAAATCAATTGAAATGTTGCGTATCTGATGTAAATTTAAGTGGGATTTAAGATGAATCGTGATAATGAGGAAGTGAGTCTTTTAATATAATAAATTAATTATTTTTATACTCTAATATATATTCAGAAATTGAAAATAATTTTATATATTTTTTATGATTGGTTCTTACACTCAGAGAAAAATTTTGTTTGAACAAAATATATCAATTTTTTGGATTAACAGAATTTTTTGATTATTTTATACAAAATTGGTATCAATCAAATAAATATATTTATTTGATTTAAATAAACGTTTGGTTTATTATAAAAAATTTTTCGAACGAAGAAAGAATTTGATTGAACCAAATAAACTTTTTGATTTAAACAAAAGTTTTTTTATCTACCAAAATTTATTTGGTAGATTCAACAAAAAATTTGGTTGTTTCAAACAAATTTTATTCTGAGTGTTTACGTCGGTGAAGTTCATAACGTTTATGATCAGCGATTGAAAACTAAAAATTTATTCATCTAAAAAATAATAAAATGCAAAAAAAATTTTTTTTAAATTGTTGATCGAGTAATTGTAAAATACATGGGATTTAGTACAACTTATAATAGTTAAGTGCCACGAACGAGCGCAAATGGGAAATAAAACAAATGAATGACTACACTACTTATATTTTTTCTGACATATTGGATCCGCCATATTGAATTTTGAAAATTTTGGGAAAGTTTGGTGATAGAGGCTTTTCAATTACGAATTAAAATTAACTAATCCCTGCTGAGACCCGTGTGGAAAAGTCGACTGGGCCCCAATTTGGTCCAGACTGGGTTTCCCAATGTCCAAAGTGGGCAACCCAGATAACGCCCAAACTGGGCAGCGTAACGCTGATCCCAAAGATTTCCCAAGGTTGGGAAATCCCAGCTGGGGCCAGATTGAGTTATTCCATTTTTATTTATAATTGTTAATTAATAATTATATAAATAATTTAACAACAAAAGAGTAAATTAAATGAATAAATATAATTTCCTTTTAAATTAAATTGTATTAAAGATGACGACTAACAAACAATGTATAAAGTAAAAAAAATATTTGTGACGCGTCGCCAAGAAAGGGACCTAAGCGTCCAAGAATTGTAGGTTAAGTTTGTGTCAGTTTCATATTGATTAAATCTTTTTTTTTAATTGTGTAACAGTAAAAGCAGTTTTTAATAAATATTTTCGATATAATGAAGAGATAAGCATTAATGGTTAATATTGAAAATTGATCCACTTTGTACATTTTCTTTTCAAATATGGCAAACATAACCTGAAACTCCTGGACGCTTAGGTCCCTTTCTTGGCGACGCGTCACATTTATATAATTTAAAAGTTAAATAATAGTGTATGTATTAGATTTTCAAGTTTTGGTACAACTTATAAATGAAAATCTAGAAATAACGCAAAAAACTGCGCACGAGGGGAATCGAACCTACGACCTACGGACTTATAGATTAACGCTCTAACCACTATGCTAACGACGCGTACCTGCAGACAAGTTTTAATTTCTCAGTATCAAAGATGTGAAAAATATGATTAGGTTAGACAATAAATTAAAATATAATCACTTACTTCATTTCATTTATTTTAATTTAACATTTTTACCAGTAATTAATAAGTACCAAAGTATTTTTCCTTAAATGTGAATTTTGCCCATATTGGCTTTTGGAAAAATCTCCAAACGGCATATAAATTAAATATAAATATAATTAACTAGTTTTATTATTTCTCATTTGTTCTCAAGTCTTTTATTTATTTATAACAGAATATTAAATTAAATTTCAGTTTGGGAATACTTTGGGAAATCCCAGTTGGGGCCAGGTTGGGTTGACCCAAACTTTGCCCAAGTACAATGAAAAACAAACATTTTTTTCAGCTTTTCACAGTTGCGCTTTTTTGTATATTTCTTCAGCATATTATTTAAATAATAATTTAATTAACTTAATTCTTTTATTTCTTCATTTTTCAAACTTTGGGAAGCCAAGTTGGGCCCAGATTGGCGCCCAGTCTCACTTTGGGCGACTTTGTGAAGATTTCCACACGGGGATGTACTAAATCCCATGTAATTTACAATTTTTTAGGATGAATTATTTCTGGTATTTTTTGATAAATCAAAAAACGGTTTGGGGAGATTGTATAGCATACGAAGGAGATCAAACTTTTCATAATATCAAACGATTTGAGAAAGGCCTAAAAAACGGCGTTATTGACCCTCATCTTTTGTTAGAAAAATTATAATAATTTGCTTTTAACAATATTGTTTCTTCTAAATCATTAATTATAAATATTGTGAACTTCACTGCTATGTGTTCTTATTTGAAAAATATAATTAGATAAATTTTTTCATACCTCGGTTTTGAAATGTGAAATTTGCTTTGTTTTCTGTGTAGTCTAGTTCGTTAATTTCAAATTTTATATATTTATATGAAGTTGAGTAACTATTATTTGAGTCTTGTTAAACTTACAGCAAAAAGCAGTTTCCCAAACTCTCTGTGGCGCATTGCAGAAAGAAGCTAATTGCAAATGTTTGGTACTTTCTGTACTCATTTATGGATGCCTTGCTGCCGTTACATGGTGTCGTTGCGCTAATGTTACTAAGGTCTGTGAAAAATATTCCAATTTTAGTAAAAGCATAAAGACGTTGTCATTTTTTGTTTTTCAAAACATATTTTTAAAATATTTTATTTATTTTTTCTACACTTTTTATTATAAGTACTTTTTATTAAAGTACTTCACCGGCAATATTCGAAAAAGAGTCACACTTATCAAATTTTGACAGTTTGTTCTTTAGGTCAATTTAGAAAAATATGATTTTTTTCAGAATTTTTTACAATGTAGTTTTTTAGAAAAAAAATTAAAATCGAATACGTAACAATTATTTTTTTAAATTACTAGTGCTCTTGCTGTTAAAAACCACGGGAAATTGGAGGTTAAAGTTTCGTGGGTGGTACGCTTGCGCATAATCATATATATTGCCAACTTAATTTCCATTGTTTAGAAAGCATATTTATCAATGTTTACAGTATTTAAAAAGAAAAAAAATGGGGATTACGTATTTTTACTTTTTAAAATACATAAATCCATTAATAACATAAACATATGTGACGCGCTCTGAAGAAAAGGACCTTAGAAGCGAACGAATTATAGGTTATGTTTACGGTAGTTTTACCTTGATTAAACGTTTATTTTTATTTATGTAAAATTAAATTCAGTTTTTATTAAATATTTTAGATGTAATAAAAACTTCAATATTAATTATTTGTATTGAGAGTTGATCCTCTTTGTGTATTTTCACTTCGAAATTTCAAAACATAACCTACAATTTTCTGCTTTTCTAAGGTTCCTTTCTTCAAAGCGCGTCACATATGGTTTTTCTTCAAACTTGTAAAACCGCACCACCGGACAATCCTTAAGGAAGTTCTCTCCCTCCAACGTCAGTCAAATCAATGCCCATTTAAGTTTTCATTTGTATCGCGTAGTACTAGCTCAACGCTTGGCAACGTTGGATTATATTTCCTCCGTTCCGTTTCGTGTCGTCTGCTATTGTTTGATTTATTTTCGTTAAATAATAATAATAATAATTTATTATTTTAAAAATCTTAATTTTTTATAAGCAAATTCAAATTATTATTCATTATTATGAATCTTTGAAGAATATACTATTACATGTATATACTACTTATATTACTTTCAAATTTCGCGCTTTTTCTATTCCTAACCTACAAGACGCAACGTTGCCAAGCGTTCCCAGATAACAAACGTGTCTGGCACGTTACAGGCACAACGAGCGGCGGACCGTGTCCCTGCTGTAACGCACCTTTTGTGCCACCTACTTTATGACAAGACCGACTGTGCCAGCATCGTGCTCGCAATATTCCTGACATATTATCCGGATCTTTTGTCCAGGATATATCTGCCAATAGGCTTGTTTAAATTTCTGTTTTTGAATCTTCATTATAAATAAAAAAAGTATTACTTTCACTAATAAAATTAAATAATTTATAAATAAATTAATTTTTATTGATATTTTATTTTTTTGTAGTGATAAGCAAAACAAGTTTGCAATAATTTTTTTTATGGTTCAAAATATATAAAAATATAAATAAAAGAATAAATCTAGGGATAAGAGAAAATAACAAGATTTATTAAAAAATAATTCACAAATTTTTAAAAATGTAGAATACTTTTTAAAATATCTAAAAAATCATGAATAAAAAATTTAAAAAGTAAAGTAAATTATCAAAAAGATGAGAAAAATATAAGCCAACAAATTTTTAATAAATTAAGCAGTTTAATAAGTATAAAAATCCTAATAATTTAAGTTTTGTAAAACACACTATAGAAATGTTAAGAAAAGAAAATTCTTAAAATATAAGAAAGTTAAGGAGATTATTCATAAAATGAAGGAGTTTAAAAAATGTAAGAACAAAGCTTTAAAGAACGAAAAAAGCTTAAAATATTTAAAAATGCCCAAAACAAAAACTAAACAGCTTTAAATTTTAAAAAAATTATGAAATGTTAAAAATTGTATAAAATAAAATGTTGTAAGAAAATAGAAGAATTTATAAACGAATATAAAAAGAATCTGAAAATTAAAAAAAATTGAAATGAATTACAGAAATATTTTTTAAAAATTAAAGAAAATGTTATAACAGAACGAAAAACTATTGAAATATAGGAACGATTGGGAAATTTGTAAAAATACAGGAAAAAATGCAAAAAAAACTGACTAGAATCTATTAAAAAAGAATAATATAAGGAAAAAGTTATTCAGTTTAGAGAAGGGACAACATTTCTAAGAAATGAAAAAATTATGAAAAACTATAAAATTTATTAAATGAGCAAAGAATGATAAAAAATTATAAAGGAACTTAACAACACAATGAGAAAATAACGTATAAACACACACAGCACATGATATTTTCTAAATATTTCTGAAATATTTCATTGAAATTTTGAAATATTCCAATGTAAAGTCCTTGAAATATTGCTGAAATTAGGGAAATGTCCGCCTATAAGTAATATTGCCGTGTAATTTTGCTGAAATATTTCATTAAAATATTATAGAAAAATTCCAACTTAAATGATGCTAAGGATCCTAAGGTGTTGAACATGTTAGAAAATAACGATTGATTTCATATTTTAAAAAAGTTTCTAACTTTGAAATATTTTTTGAATATTGCAGAGTCTTCATTTGTAATATTGCAGGAGTCTTAATGTGTAATATTTCAACAAAATTTCACGGCAATATTTCTTATAGGCGGACATTTTCCTGTTTTGATCAACATTTCATGAACCTTGCATTGAAATATTTCAAATCTTTCAATGAAATATTCATGAAATGTTTATGAAATATAATGTGATGTGTGGGAAAAAAAGAAAATCCTTAAAAAAATTAAACGATTAACTGAAAAGTTTTTTAAAAATTGTACTAAATATTAAACAAATAAAAATTCATGAAACGAATTGAATTAATTGAATAATAAATTGAAAATTGGATGGAATAAATTTTAAAAAAACTATGAAAACTTTTAATAATGCTAATAAGTTTATTTTTGTCTTACTTTAACAAAGAAATAAATTAATGAATTAATAAAATAAAGATAAATTTAATTATTAATGTTACATTGAGAATTTATATCGATGGCTCCTAAATGAAAACACGTTATTCGCGAGAGCAAACAAAAAACACCCTTATTTACGAAAAAAAATAGAAAACTCATCTGAAAATTTTGTAACCTAATTTGCTTAACTTTTGCTATGTTTTTATTTTAAGCCAATATCAAATGTCTAAATAAAGTAATTTAAGGATACAACGTTAGTTTGACACAATATAAACGTTTAAATTAATTTAAATTTTAATGTATCATTCATACTTTAAAAATAACCATTAATTAAAATTGTAACATAGCCTTCAAACAACTGTCATTTTGAATAAGATGTTTTCTATTTGTTTTTCTTAATAAAGTGTTTTCTATCTGCACTCGCGAAAAACGTGTTTTCATTTAGGGGCCATCGATATAATTTACAAGAATAATTTTAGAATTTCTTTTGTAACTTGTTTGCTACTTAAGTTTGATGAATTCGTAAATATAATTAATCATTAGTGAAAAATTTATTATTTTAATGAATATAATATATATTGCATTTAACAATCATGCGATTATACGAATATTCTTAATAACACAAAAAATAATCATAGAATATCTTGAAAATTATTACAATCTATATAATAATATTCAAAATGTTTGATCTATTTATAATAAAAATAATTAATTCTAAGAAGAATATTTGAATAAATGAAATTTTGAAAAACAATAATTTTAAATAAAAGTATTTTATAGTTCATTTTTAGGACAGAATTCTTGTAAATAAAAGCAAGTGCGTTGATAGATCAGTTGGTTAGGCATTAGGTTTAGTTTGCGTTAGGTCGCGGTTTCGATTCCCCTTGCGTGCGTGAGATAATTTAACTTTAAGATAAGTATTGTAAATAATCATACTGAATTAAATATATGCATTTCCGTGATTAAATTCCGAAAACAGCTCATTTTTTACTAACGAAATATTTTTGAACACTATTTTTTTAGCTATTTAATCAATGAGATGGTTGATTATCTGATAAAAAAAGTTACCAGAGCACATTTTCAAAATGTTAATCAGCACGTGTAATTTTTTTACTGAAATTGTTTAAATAATCATTAAACGTATCTACATAGACGCAGTTTCAATTTTTATTTTAGTAAAAAACATTTTCTGTACTTTAATGGATCGGACCGCGGGCGGGCGATATCGCCAGCAATGGCGCGTACATTGCGCTGCTTATGTGCCGGCACGTTGGTCCGATCAATCGGACTGAGGTCCGGCACACGGCCTGCAATTATGCAGGCATTTTGTTATCTGGGCGTTGTGCTAAGTAATTTCTGATTGTCAAAATACGGTGTTTTTTTAGACAAAATAATTAATTGTGAGTCTCCTAAGCCAGGTCTGATCAATTTTATTAAAAGTAAGTGAACATTGGCTATTAAACTTTATGTATATAAAGTTCCAGTAATATCTTTTCGTCAGATTTTTCACAATTTGAGATTTCAGACCAAAAAATTCAATTTCCCATAAGAACCCGTGTTAAATGTGAAAAGAGAAAATTATTTATATCTTTTGTCAAAATCCACCTAGACCTCTAAAAATTTAACTACATCTTCTTTAAACCATTATCTATCAGTTTATCAAGTTTGATAATTAACTCTTCGTCATTTCTGTTTGCGAGAGAACTTCCTTAATAAATATTACATAATTATCTTCACCACTTTAAACAAAACATGATAATACTAATAGATTGTATAGAGTTCCAGAAAATTAATTCTTTGAATATAGCTAAATTGCATCGCCTTGAAGACTATTTTTTAGGACAAGACGATGCGCGCGCATCCGTTGCCAATCGTTGACTAAAAATATATTTCTTCACATAATCTACTCTTCTTACAATTTCAGTTTATTAATATTATTGAAATTATAAAACATTTTATCTGAGAGGATATAATTTTTTTTTATAATTTTAATAATATTAATTAGCTGAAATTGTAGGAATAGTGGAACACGTGAAATAAATTTGTTTGTCAACAGTTGGCAATGGATGCGCGCGCATCCTGTCGTCCTAAAAAATCACTTTGAAACAGCCCATTGTGGAACCGACTTTAATGTACAGAATGACATTTTTTTAATGTTTAGAATATTCCTTATGTTACACTCTTTCATGATAAATAATAAAGTGTAAATCCGCAATATTAAAATTCGTTCAAGATTAAAAAATGATTTTTAACTACGTTTTTAACGCAAACAAAAATATTTAAAAAATCAATTTGAATCAATTTTGTATAAGATATAGTTATTCACTTTTCAGAAAAAATAATGTTGAGTCAAAATTTTGTGTCAAATAATTATTTTTTTAACATTTTAATTTTTCATTTGTTAGAATTTACATTTTTAAAAATTCTTAAAACTTCAAATTTTTATTTTACAGAAGTTTTATTATTGTCCGAATAAATATCTAGGTAGAAAAATTTTGGGCATAAAGTTTAAAATTAACCAATCATAATTTTCTTGATAACTTCTGATTGATTAATTTTATACTTTGCGTCCAAATTTTTCTGCCAAATATTTATTTGAACAAATGAAAGTTGATTTTCTGGAACTTCAAACCATTAAATACAATATGTACTACCTATTACACCGTCCGACAAAATTCAAAATTCTTTTTCACACACGAAAAAATCAATGATTTTCAGAAACTAGGACCAAAAAAAAGATACCCGTGTCTGGCCGTTTTGCTAGATCAGGTCATTTTTTGCTTTTAGGGGTAAAAACAACCCTTAAATGAAAGGTGATAGGAAATCTTGTACAAAAAAATAATTTTTTATGAAACCTGGTATCTCGGGGTTTTCCGGGTCGCTGATTACGAATCTGATGTCAGATTTTCAAAATTGAAAATGGCGGATCCAATATGGCGGTCGAAATTTATAAAAATTCACCAATTCATTTGAAAGTTGTTACTTGAAGGTTTTTGGAGTCGCTGATAACGAATATGATGTCAGATTTTGATAATTCAAAATGGCGGATCCAATATGGCGGTCGAAATTTCTAAATATTAATTATTTTTTATAAAACTTGGTGTCTATTATTTATAAAAAATAATTAATATTTATAAATTTCGACCGCCATGTTGGATCCGCCATTTTGAATTATTAAAATCTGACATATTCGTTATCAGCGACCCTAAAAACCTTCAAGTAACAAGTTTCAAGTGAATTCGATGAACTTTTATAAATTTCGACCGCTATATTGAATCCGCCATTTTGAATTTTGAAAATCTGACATCATATTCGTAATCAGCGACCCCAAAAACCCATAAGTAACAACTTTCAAATGAATTGGTGAATTTTTATAAATTTCGACCGCCATATTGGATCCGCCATTTTGAATTTGAAAAATCTGACATCAGATTCGTAATCAGCGACCCGGAAAACCCTGAGATACCAGGTTTCATAAAAAATTATTTTTTTGTACAAGATTTCCTATCACCTTTCATTTAAGGGTTGTTTTTACCCCTTAAAGCAAAAAATGACCTGATCTAGCAAAACGGCCAGACACGGGTATCTTTTTTTTGGTCCTAGTTTCTAAAAATCATTGATTTTTTCGTGTGTGCAAAATCATGTCGGACGGTGTTATTCAAATTCGTCAATGTGCTAAAAAAATTGATAAATTTTTCTTAAATTTCACAAATTCATCTAGAAATATATTATTTTATTATCCTTTTATAGGTCGTCATCAATTTTATGAAAATACCCATTCGAAGCACAAAAAATGTTTCGCCCTGTGACGATGGTTACATATACATACCTGTAAGTAGAAAAATTAATTAATTTTATCTAAAGAAGACATCATGTAATTTTTCTAATCAATGTCTCAGGTTGCATTTATGGGAATGTTATATCTTGTTTATTTGGTGGAATGTTATCATTCTCCAATCAGAATTGACCTTCTACATGCGGAGGGCCAAAGCAGTGTTCTTGCCAAGTTGACCCAACTGAAAATTGCTCAGCCAACAATTTGGTGGAAGGCCATTTCCTATCATTATGTGCGTAGAAAGAGACAAATCACTCGTTACAGAAATGGTGATAATTATACAACAACTCAGGTCAGCTCTTCATTTCAGAAGTAGAAAATAAAACTAGGAATTAAAAAATTTATAAATAATAAAAATAAATACAATCATTCTAATTACTATTCAAATATAAATATTTTATTTGCATCAAATAAATTTATTTCAATTAAATAAACTCAAATGATAATAGTCAACTAACGGAGTATTTGAATAATTTTTTTTTCTATTAATATAAAAAATTTACGTCAATAGGTTTATTACGAGAGAGTGAATACACATGCTGCAACATCTTTTTATTTTTACGATTATTGTGGAGTCAAAGACATCAGTAAAGAGTTAATTCTCGATCCAAAAGTACCAATTACAAAAATCACTCTAACGAAAGGATTCGCATTTTCCAACGTGAGATCGGCCACCGAATTCGAAGAAGCGAGATCACGTTTTTTTGCAGAACAAGTATATATTTTATTCTAATTTTCATTTATTGCGCGCGATGAAAATTTAAAATTTTTTAACGATATTACACTATCTTCTTTTTATTATCATTATAGGAATTTAGAGACGATTACATGGAAATGAGAGAGAGTCTCGACTTGGGGTACAATTTCAATCCTATTACTTTGGTAGCGGTCCTTGGTAATCCCTGGTTCACCAATTCCTATGTATATTGGTGTCTGAGTGCTCTTTTACTGAGCTGGCCACTTAGGATCATCATTGAATATAAAACTCAATATGCAGATTATCAGGTAATTTCTTTTCGCTAACAAGCACTTTGAAAAAAATGTTCTACTTTCTTTCTACTGAGATATATATACGTAAAAAAGATCATTTTCAAACAGCGAGAAAGTGAGAGAGAGAGAGACACGAAATTGGAAGTGCAGCCTTGTAACTTGATTCAGAAAAGCGCGAGAGATGAATATATTATTTTTAGAAAATTCTTGAATTTCTGATTCCGGATGGTAAATTGAATTTTTTAAAAATTACCTGTAACTTTAGAAGAGATAAAGAAAGTTTGAGAATAATGTCTCGCAATTTGTTTGCAAAATATGTACCAAGTTTGTCGTAGGCAAAATAAATTTTTAATTTTAATTCATAATTTACCATTTTGGATTTTTATAATGTATATATTGTACATATGTAAAAATTGCGTCTCGGTATTCTTGCATAATGAAATAAAATTAACATCACGAATTTATTAATTAATTAAGAAGAGGGAGCAGTAAAATTTCGATTTAATATTCATGTTGTTTCGGGGTGCCAATTTATTTTCCGACATTATTAAGAATTTAAAATTATCGTACAACATGAAAAAATTGAAAATTTTTTGATAGAATTAAGGTTACAAAAAATTTTTCAAAAAAAAAAATGTTAAATTGAATAAAACATAAATGCCTATTGTTATTTTTACATTTAATGTTTTTTTTAATTTTAATTATGTATAATTTTTATTGAACTACTTTTTTACATTAAAAAAATTTTATTTTTCTTACTTTTTCAATTTAACAATTTTTTAATTTATTTCGGACATAAATTTTTTTTTACATTAAAAAATTTTGTTTATACAAATAAGTTTAAAAAAAATTTATGTAAAAAAAGCAAAGTAAAATTCGACGGATTAAAATTTTACTGTTCCACATCCCGTTAATTACAAAAATTTATTGTTCGTTTTATTTTATAATCATAAATTTTAATAATTGTTTTTCTACTACAAAATGAAAATTAGAACCAATTGACATCGATGAAGTTCACGTTTATGATCAACGAATTAGAAGAAAAATTATTCTTCTATCCTATAAATTATTATAATTTTTTGTCTAAAAATATTTTTGCAACATTTCTCGATTAATAAATTTTTAGAACAAAAATTGGTAAGCAAAAATTTTTATTATTTTTAGCGTGAAAAATATTTTTTATTTTTAATCGTCGATCATAAACGTAGTAAACTTCACCGACAACCCGATTGGATAGTAATTTATATTTAGTTGTCACATTTACTTACCATAAATGTATGTTAGATACTCGCCACTTAATAATTACAAATTTTTTTGTAATGTGTATATCGAAACATAACCTCTAAACCTCAACTTTCATCAAGAATGAATATTAATATTTAACAATCCTTATGATTCATGTCACTGAACACACAATACTGACGACTGACATTTAAATAGTTTTTAATATTTTTTGATTCTCTACTGTAAACAACTGCGTATACATATAAGGGGGATTTTACATGAGGCTACTTCCACCACTTCTACAATAGCTAAATCAAATTGCCTTGAAGAAGCAGACGGTGCGCACGCATCCATTGCCAACTGTCAAGAAAAGAATTATTTCGTGCGTGTTCCACTGTTCCTGCAATTTCAGTTTGTTAATGTATTATTGATTTATTGATTATATTATTGATTATATCTTTAAAAAATTTTTTTTTTATAATTTCAATAATATTTAACAAGCTGGAATTGTAGCTGTAGGAATAGTGAAACACGTGAAATAAATAAAGCTATTGTAGAAGCAGCTTGAAATGATCGAACGTTTCTTTTCAAACGCGCTCATTCTTTAGTAATTTTTTAAATTAAGAATGTTGATCATTTTCTGAAATTCTTAGCACGTTAAAATGATAAATATTGATTTTAAAATACTGTTTTCTTGAAACACAGACTCATTTAACAAATTCGTCTGAAATACCAAAGATCCTTATCTTACAAATTTCCCAAATCCGAAAGATTGTGCGAATCAACGACTTTGATCCCTGCATGCTTCTGCCATCTGACGACGAAAGGACGTAATGAACCTGTCATTATATTACTTTCCTACTTTTCGTTTTGCAATGTTTATAAGTTAAGGATCCTTGATATTTTGGCCGATTTTATAGGTCGATAATTAAAGGACTCTCTTTGACAAAGAATTTCAAAGGCTGTTCTTAAATAATGAAATGAAATTTGTTCTCAATATCAATTTTATTTCGATTAGTAAAATGCATTTTTGAAAAAATAAATTTTTTTTTACTCACTTTAAAGTTCTCTATTAACAATAGACCTTTTCATGCTGATCGTTTTATCCTTATCTAGCGCATTCAATGACACATGAGTTGGTAAGGACAGAATGATCACCATGAAAAGGTCTATCCGGTTATTATAGATTTAACAATTCCTTTTTCCAACTAAAACTATTTGTTAAAATGAAAGTCAATGCAATGTATGTTATTTTGATTTTAGATAACAAAACTTTTTGGTGTAAATTACGACACACCAATGACATCACAAATACATGCGTCTTCCAGTCAAATAAGTGCTCCAGGATCATATATGTTAGCACCGAGTTATAGCGAAGCACTTTTAATGGAACCTGTAATATCAAGAACGGAAGAAACATCAGAAAGAGAAAATCTCATAGAGGCATTTGAATCGGATATGGTACCAAGTTATTCCGAGGCACTTCTTTACGAACGAGCACAACAGAATTCTTTGCAAACTGATATCAATATCCAATATCATCAGATTCAATCCTCAGAACCTTGTGAGTGTCCATGTCACATTGGAGAATTAGAAAGACCCAATGAATTAGATCCAGAAGCTTCCACTTCCAAAATGGAAAATAATAATAATAATCCTCGAGATGAAAGAATACAAATAGAAAATACAATTCAAACAAGATCGGAAACTATTAATTTTAGAGAATCTGAAACATCAACAGCAATATATCAAACAAGAAATCGACTAAGTGATTGTAATTATACTACACAATTGAAAATTTGTAGTGACTGTCTAAGAAGTTCAGCGAGTGATCCCAATAGATTGAATCGTGATTTAAGTGAAATTGGATGTAGTCGATTTTTATCTCAATTGAGGCGGACAAATTCTCGAGAGAGTTCCTTAGAATTATTAAACGCAGCAGCAGCATGTGCAAATACAACGAGAAATTTCAACAGAGATATTTCAGAACCAGATCTACGAAAAAATTCAGAATTAGTTGATCCCACATTGAAATTCCTCTTGGCAAATGGTCGAAGTTTAGAGAATATTTTAGAAAATGAAGAATCCGATGTATTGAAAAAGAGAGCAATGTCTGAGCGAGCTGAAGCATTGATTTTAGAAGATCAAATTGATTCAATTTCCACTGTAACGCATGAGGAAATGATTTCAAGAGGTGCAATACCAAAAAAATTGTCTAACAAAAGTAGAGTTACTGTAAATCCTATTTCGGAAGTAGTTAAAAGAATCCCCACGTCGAAGACTTATTTTTGTCTTAAGTCAATTCTGAAAAATAAACAGAGACGATATACAATGGTGACTCCTGAAGAATTTCAAGCACTTGATCCAGATAAATCTAGCGGTGAAATAGAATTTTGTAGAAATAGAGAAACTATTCTTCATCTAACCGATGTTTCGGCTCAATGTCGATGTAGCAACTGTGATAATGATAATGTTAATGGCGTCAATAGAGAATCTGACGATTTTTCCCGAGAGAACTGTAGTTTGAAATCGGAGAATTCTAGGTAAGGCTTAAGGGTGTTGGAGCCATGACAAAAAATTAACAATTATTCTAAGTTCTATCACATGAAGTAGATTAGCAGATTAGCAGAAAAGATTTTAACCAATCAAAATGGAGTTGCTTACGGCAAATATTACCTTGCTGCAAGAGACTAAATTTTGATTAGTTAAAATCTATTCTGCTAATTTGCTAATCTGCTCCATGTGACAGAGCCTTTAAACCATGTTTAGTTTGAGGTTATTTTCTTTGCTTGAACCTCCTTAAATTTCGTTTAGCTTAAAAAAATGGTTCTTTATAAACTAAATTGTAAAAATTCTTATAGGACGCTGATATTTGCAAATCCAATTCAGAAGATTTGTCCATCGGATCCATTTCAAGGGAAAAATGTCGTTCAAAGTGATAACACGGCAAATAATGAAGATTTTTCAAACTTACCCGTCTTATCAAGGTTCAGGAGATCATTGACTGAGAGAGAAGTTTCTGCTTCAAGTAGCCGAAGTCAATGGACGCAGCATCGAACCATAAGTACAGGACCTGATGAAATTTTTTCTGAAAGACACGATCCTGCCATTTCCCTTCCATCGTACGACGGTATGACGATACCTCCCGATTCTAGAATAAATTTGCCGAACAACGATATTCTTTCAATAAATAATTGTCCGTCATTGTCACAAGAGGACCAAGCAAGTCAAAATCAATTTGGGTCTGATGACCAATCGAGTTCACAATTCAACATAGAAAGGCCCAGATTGACTCGATCATTAACTGAAAGGAGAGTCAAATCAGACCAAAGAAAACGCGATCCAATTCTACGTAATAGCTTCACAGACAGAATAGATTATTCATTTAAAGGAAGCGATGGCAAACGCACGAATCTCAATATGGAGACTTCCTTGTAAATTATATGGGATTAGAGCTCATATGCACTGTAAAAAATTTCAGTATATAATTACATGATGCAAGTAATTTTACACAAAATTGAAATGTAGTAAATTTACTACGTCTGGACAATAGGACGAGACGCCTACTTTTTCCTCAATTTTTAAATAACCGAATTTTTAATTAACATAATTTAAAATTACAAAAGTGTTAATAAACCGAATTTAAATATTTCAGAATTTTTAAAAAACCGAATTTTTATAGTTCCAAATTTTCAGTTTACACAATAAAAAAATAATCGAAATACCATTGGTTATAATTTTTATGTTCTCGAATATTAAAATTACAGAAAATGAAAAGAGCAGAAGTTTCACTTGACAGACTTTCTGTTCAACCTAATTGCGATCGGACAAAATTTTAAGAGAACAGAAATATCAGTTAACATAATTTCAATTTTGCAGAATTTTTAGTTAACATAATTTAAAATAAACAGAAATGTCATTTGACATAATTTTTATGTTCTCGAATTTTAACTTTTCCGAAAATAAAAATAACAGAAATTTAACTTGACAGACTTTCTATTCAACCTAATTGCGATTGGACAGAATTTTTAGATAACGGAAATATCAGTTAACATAATTTCAATTTTGCAGAATTTTTAGTTTACATAATTAAAAATAAACATAAATGTCATTTGTCATAATTTTTATGTTCTCGAATCTCAAATTAACCGAAAATAAAAACAGCAGAACTTTCATTTGATAGAATAAATCCATTGTTGATGATTGTTTAAACAATGAATACACAATGGATTTGGTATGTCAAGTGAAACTTCTGCTGTTTTCATTTTCGGTTAATTTGAGATTCGAGAACATAAAAATTATGACAAATGACATTTATGTTTATTTTTAATTATGTAAACTAAAAATTCTGCAAAATTGAAATTATGTTAACTGATATTTCCGTTATCTAAAAATTCTGTCCAATCGCAATTAGGTTGAATAGAAAGTCTGTCAAGTTAAATTTCTGTTATTTTTATTTTCGGAAAAGTTAAAATTCGAGAACATAAAAATTATGTCAAATGACATTTCTGTTTATTTTAAATTATGTTAACTAAAAATTCTGCAAAATTGAAATTATGTTAACTGATATTTCTGTTCTCTTAAAATTTTGTCCGATCGCAATTAGGTTGAACAGAAAGTCTGTCAAGTGAAACTTCTGCTCTTTTCATTTTCTGTAATTTTAATATTCGAGAACATAAAAATTATAACCAATGGTATTTCGATTATTTTTTTATTGTGTAAACTGAAAATTTGGAACTATAAAAATTCGGTTTTTTAAAAATTCTGAAATATTTAAATTCGGTTTATTAACACTTTTGTAATTTTAAATTATGTTAATTAAAAATTCGGTTATTTAAAAATTGAGGAAAAAGTAGGCGTCTCAATAGGACTGTTTAGGCTAACGCAGAATAGCTCCACGATTAGGCCTAAGCAGAATAAAATCTCTAATCGTAAATCTTAAGCTTTTACATGAGAGAGAAAAGGACAAAAGATATTTCTATCCTTTTCTCTTTCATGTAAAAGCTTAAGATTTACTATTAGAGATTTCATTCTGCATTGGCCCATAGGTTCATGAGATAGAGAAGAACACGAATATATTTCTGTCATGCTTTACCGTTCGCGAAGCTATTCTGCTTATATAGGCCTTTATGCTGAATCTACAATGGCTGCGCAAACGTTCACGTCGACTTTTGCGCAGCCAATGTAGGTCCATCATCCAAACGGCTTGCTCAATTAAGGCCTGAGCAGAATAGAAACGTAACTGGAATCGTAATCACAAACGCAACCAGAAAAATGAGTTAGAGAAAGATAGACATATTGTTTGTCCTTCTTTAACTCATTATTCAGGTTGCGTTTGCGGTTACGATTCATGTTACGTTTAAATTCTGTTCAGGCCTGTAGGTAGTTCAAGTTGGGTGGGGTCTATTTAATACAATATAATTAGTAAAAAAAAATAAAATCGTTTTTTATTATTGTATTAAATAGGTCATTAAAAATAGAAACTAAATTCCTAATATACTTAGGTTCCAAAATTTCATTTAAGCAAGATATTAAAAAAATTCGACTTAATCCCGTACATTTATAATGTTTGTGCACCAGTTTACCCCCACCTTGACTCTTCCCCCCCAAACTTGAGCTACCTAAAGGATGTTCTACAATAAATGCAAAAGGCCAGTGCAAGTCCAAAAAACCATAAGTGCAAGAGAGATAGCTAGACTATATATCTCTTTTGCACTCATGGTTTTCTTGGACTTGTCTTTTGCATCTATTGTAGAACCTCCTTAATAAAGGCCTGAGCAGAATAGAAACGTAATCGGAATCGTAATCGCAACCGGAGAATGAGTTAGAGAAAGATAGACATATTTTTTGTCTTCTTCTAATTCATTCTTCTGGTCGCGATTCTGGTTACGTTTCTATCGTTTCTATTTTGTAACTTGTTTTTTTTTCTTTACTTATAGATTATGTATGTTGCCCATTATGTTTTTTCTTTTTAAAAAATATAGAGATTAAAATTATGGAAAATTTATTCCATGGAAGGTAGAAATAATTATTTCTATCAAATTTTCCATAATTTTAATCTCTATTTTTTTAAAATGAAGAAACATAATGAGCAATATAACCTAAATAAAGTTACAAGTAGTATATTTATAAGTTTTGCACGGCAGCAGGTGACCACAATTTTCAGCGTTGGACGTTGTAAAATTACACAGAAATTTTTTACAGTGTATAAATATATAATATTGTGATTTAGAGCCCAATTGACGAATTTCATTAACGGAAAACATTACGGAAATTCTCCTTATTCTCTATTACTATACCTAATAAAATATAAATAATAATTGTAGATGAATCAAAATGAAAAATCAAAATTTTCTGAAAGAACAAAATAAAAATTATTCAAAGTGTTAGCCATATATATTTTTCGATGAATTAAAATTGAAGAATAATTTTTCAAGCACTTTAAGAGAAACTAGAAAAATGCAATTAAATGTCAAATTAGATAGAAGCAAAAAAAAAATGTCAATATATAATATTATTGTTTTCGTAATGTTTCTCCACTTGAAAACCTTTTCTACCGGAGTGTTCATCGCGTGTAACTTCTCTCAATGTCGGAGTAATTATTATTATATAATAAAAAAAAATATTTCTACCTAAGTCCTTCGTATTAAAAAAGTAAAAAAAGCAAAAAAAAAAAAAAATAGGTGTCTGATAAAAAATTGATTGATAGATGACATGAATGTTTTGATTAAATTCGGCTTTCCGTACCTGCTATAGTAATTAAACAACTATCGATGTGAAAGCTAAAAACTAATTAGTGAAAATTATATTTAAAAAATTGAAATTTAACATTGAAGAAAAAATATTCTTCGTTTAAGGAGAGGGTTTGTCTTCTAAAATTGACTACAATTTTATACTTAAAACGAAAGTATTAGTCTTCGATTGAGATTATTTTCCTCTCATTTTAAGAAGAATGATAACCGTAACATAACCTCAAACTAAAAAATGGTTTTTAACGCAAACAAAAATATTAGAAAAATTAATTTCAATCAATTTTGGAAGATCCAATTATATACATACATATTTTAGAAAAAATATTTTTTTAAAAAATTATTTAATAAAAACAAACATTAATGTGTATTTTTTCTTTTCCTATTAGACAATATTGCTCAAAAAATTATAAAATCTAATTTGATTTATTTGGCCTCAAATTTTATATATAATAACCAATGGTTTTCTTTATTTTGAAATTTTTTAGAAACTTCTATTTTTTATGAAATTTTATATCGTAATCTAGAGAAAATGTATAAAAATGAGAAGAATTCTCTCAAACGAAGAATATTTTTTTTTACAGTAAAAATGTGAAGTTGTTTGTATATCAGTACAAACGCATCAGTAAAATCGATTCTGAAGTATATGAAACAATTTTTTTAAAATTGGTCTTTCGCACAGATTGACGTTAAATATTGAAATTTACGATAGAAAAGTAATTTATAATAGACACACATTACTTCCAAAACTAGAGTTGCTAGAAACTGATTTTTTTAAATATCATTTTCATATTCTTTAATTATTTATTAATTTAATTAGATTACATTTGTCAAGTGTTAATTACTGCAATTTCAATTGGAACGTTAGAAAATAATTTCTAATTTTAATAAACAACTCTATTTTTGTAGAAATAAAATAATGCGGACAATCATTTAAAGCGGGGGCAACTATTTTCGAAAATGGACAAGATTAATTATTATAAAAGCTTTTAGCTTGAAAATATTTACATACTAATATAATTAAAGTTAATTAAAAATAAATTAAAACTTATTTTACATAGTTTAAAGTATTTTCAAGTAAAAAGGTTCATGTATAAAAAAACGCCCCCGTAATGATTAGAAGAAAACAAATTACGAAATTCTTGTGCCACTAAACAATTGTGCTCTAGATTTAGAAAAAGAGAAAAAAATTAAAACAGTATTATTTTCCGTCCGGCTGTAATAAATTTTCTAAGGTACTTAAAAGAAAATGCCAAAAAACGATTTTTCGAAACTGGTTACTCTATATAGATATTAAGATCAGCTCAATTCCACAGATAGTTCTAGTTCGTTAATAATTATTGTAAAAAAAAAAAATTAAAAACTAAATTACATCTTTTCAAATCCTTCCCTTTCTCCTATCTACATTTTTCAAAATCTTATATTTTTTAAATAAAAAAACTTTACAAATATTCCCATAGCAGTAGATTATCAAAAAATATTTTTTAATGTAATAAATTAAAAAGAATTTTTATTTAAATTTTAATAATCTAAAATAAAAAAATTTCATATTTTCTCTAGTGAAAAAGTTTAATCAAAAGAAAAAGAACTATCTGTGAATCTTACGAAAAAATATTATAGACTTGCCAATACATAATTTTCTTGAATCTTTTTTTTTGATAGCCTATATTTACCTAGGAGACTCATTATAATAAAAAAATTCATTCAAAAAATTCCATTATAAGAAAAACAATAGAATAAAATTATTAAAAAAAATTTATTATAAATCGTATCAATATTTATTTTTCATCATATTCTTTTAACTAGATATAAAAAAAAAGTTAAAATTTTTTTTTCAATCTACACCTCGTATAAGTTTTTAATTGTTTTCTTTTATACTACTTCACAAACTTTTAATTTTATAACTTTTTTATGTTAAGAGCTGTTAATTAAATTTTAAAATTTCAAAAACTAAAATTTTTTTCCACCGGTCAAATTATAAATGAAGTAAAATTTAAATAACATATTTTTTAAGAATAGACTTTTTTTTATTGAAAAAATGAATAAATTTTTTTTAACTATAATATTTTTTCGTAAAGATAACTTAGAACGAGATATTTAATCGCTTCATTTATTATGCAATAAAAAGTTAGAAAAAAAAAATTAAATCTGATGAAAGTATAAAGAAGCGAACTGGTCGATATAAGTGATGCGTAAGTTGCGTTCACAATAGCTCAAAAATAATCGATTATATAATTTAAATGAAAAGCTATTTAGCTTTTTGAAGTATACAATTACGAAAATAACACAAAAAGTATGGGATTTACTATTATAAATATTGTAAATACCTAAACCTTATATTTAAATTAAAATATCAAGTATATTTGTTGTATTTGTATTTTAAAGCTCATACGTGTATTTTCGACTAAAACGTTATTAATGGCACATTACTGCTGTCAATTTAAGCTTATGCGACTCTGGTATAACGATAGTTGGAAAACTTTTTTGGGTCTGAAAACAAAAAAAAAAATATGGCTTACAAAAGAAATTCAAACTTGGTAGATTATTTTTTAGATAGAGAAAAAACAAATCTCACACTGCACACGCAGATCGATATTTTTCACTGCACTTAGATTCATCAAAAAAAAAAAAAAAAAAAAAAAAAATGAAAAGTTTTCAACCCAAAGAGTACAATTTTACTTAAATATAACAAATATATATTGTATATTCGATAAACAATATGCAACTTATGCCGTCTCAAAAAAAAGTGCTCTTGTAACTAAAGTAATAGTGCAAGTTTTTATGTAAAAATTAAACAAACAAAAAAAACGATGCATTAGTTGCAGAAATTTATATAATGCACTTGCTCGAAATCAGCGCGTCCACTTGTATATTAATACGCTAAAGCGAAATTTTACAGTATATTTAGTGATATTAATATAATTATTTACAAAACAATTCGTGTGTCAGAATTGTAACAACATAAAAGCGTGAAATTCATGGTTGACGTATAAATAAATGTTGAAGTACAAAAAAAAACTGACTTATTTCAATTTTCCATTTCTATGGGGTATTTCTCAGGAAATATTCTTTTTGCCTGTCCTCAAGATATTTGAAATTTTTTTACATTTATTAAATTATCTCCATGAGAAAGCAAAGTGTTCATGAATTCGAACACAAAAAATTCATACATCAACAGTTTTTTTATATTTATTTTTTAAATTCCAACTCACAAAACAAAATATTTCAGAAAAATGAACAACAGTAAAAGAGATTTCTTTTTGCTCAATATATTTCTCAAAAAACACACAATATATGAAATATAATTGTTTCTTCTTCCGATAAAACAAATGCATGGTATACAGATGTTATTTAAACACTAAAACGCAAATAAATAAAATTATTTTCATTTAAAAATGATCAATTCGCAAGATTAGAATTTTTATTCATTCAAAATAAAACATCTTCTACATATATATATTTTTTTTTATTTTTAAATGAAAGTAAAATTTTTAAAAAAAGAATTATATAGTAATTTTAAATTTGGATTCTTAAGAAAAAATTCTATTCTCGAGAATTAAAATTCGTTTATATTGTATATAATAATAAGACACATATGAAACAATACAATATATATATAGAATGACTATAAATAAAATTTTTTTTTTAAAGGAAGAATATTATGCTGTATAATTTGCCACATTTTAAAATTGCACAAATTATAATTTAATTGATAATTATCTTTTATTTTTTTTACAATAAAAATTTATGCAGTTCTTCCTTTAAAAATGCATAAAAAAATTATTATATTAAAATTCAACATTTTTCAAATTTATATTTTATAAATATAGTTGAAAGTGCAAAGTGTGTTCATTACACCGTACACAAAAAAAAAATATTTTATGATGATATAGTAATAATAATAATTATGTGAATCACCAGACTCGGATCATTAATACGTCAATTAAGAATTGTGTGCTCTCTAAATCTGAATTATTAAAAATTTTAAAATTCGAACTCATGACTTTTATATACTATAAATCAGTTAATTTTTATTCTTTACTAATCATTTAACAAAAAACGAACAAAAAATTTTCACTAATTTGTTGATAAAATTTAATTAATTTATAGCAAAAAGTCAATTACTAATTCAAATTAATTAATATTATTTTAATAATTTAAATTTAGAGAATAATATTTTTTTTCATTTATAAATGTGACAAAACTCAACAACTTTGTTCCGCAATGGCATAATTTTTACAATACAGGATTAAAAAAGTATCCTATGCAACTACACAATAAATATATATATATATTTTTTTTCGAGGAATATATTCCTCGCTTTACATGAAAATAGGTCACAGAGCTTTTTTTTGCCAAATTAGCATTAATAATAGACTGACGCAGATGTGTCGGTGGCTAGTGTTCAACAAATACACATTTAAATTGTAATAACTTTGATTTTTAATTTTTGTTTATGACACTAGATACTAATTCTTCGTTACGCAGGGCGTTGTGCAATAAACTCTGTAATAAAGTGTTTTACTTCGCCAAAGTGAATAGGAATTGTCAAACTTGAGAAGGTATACACCCTGGAAAATAAGTTTATTAAATATTTATTGCCCAATTTTTCTTTATTCGTTATTTATTTATTTTTATTAATTTTTTAAAATTATTTTCTCCAGATATTTTTAATTATTTAAATTGTAGAATTTTAATTTTTTAATATTATCTAAACTACATTTTTTTACATTAATATTTGTTTCCAATAAAATTTTTAGGCCAAGAAAAAATATGTTTTCAATTTTAAAAATTAATTTATAAAAATAAGTAGAAATAAATAAATAAAGCTTTTGTTCGATTTATAATTCCTTTAATTTATGTTCAAAATAAAATTGGAAATATGTCCTATTCTCATTAATTTCCTTGAAATGTATTTCTAAAATTTTTTTAATTCAAAAACAAAAGGAACAATTTTTTCAATTTCGATTTAAATCAAAGATCTAAAATTTGATTAAAAACTCACCTCGCCAGGATATTGATGACTACCAGCATAAACTTCGTCTTGTGAATCTCTCCTATAAATCTACAAAAACCAGATTTATTAAAAATTTGTTTAACTTTTAAAAAAAGTTCTTTTTGTAAAATTAATTAAATGATTTAAATTAAAAAGTTGTCTACATTAAAATGTTTTTGAACAAAAAATTATATTAAATTTTAATTTAAATTAAATTTTTTTATAATTTTACTAATATTAAATACATTTTTCACATTTAATTTTGGATATTCTAAAGTTAAAAATACATCTTTTAACCTATTGGCGAAAATTGAATTGACATTTTATCCAGTTATTGACCTTTTAAAATTAAAAAATTGTAAACACGAAATTTTAAAATATTTGTTTAAAATCTTTACATATTACGTCAAAAATATTATAATTAGTTAAAAGAATATTTTAATTTTTGTATTCATAGCGACAGATTTTAAAACAAACTAGTTTTTATGGTTACATAAACTAAAATTTAATTTTAATTTATCAAATTTTGTTCAAAAAATTATAACATTTTACATAAAATATAAAATATAAATTAATACATCTTATAGTTTATAATCTGATATTAATTTTCAAATTTAATGTAGAGAAATTCAAAATATTTTGTCTTCGAAAACAAACTCACGTCGTTTTTTTAAATTTTCCGAGTTTTGTTTGTCAAATTTTAAAAAACTAAGGAAAGATTCGAATTCTTTTCCAATTATAAGTTTTTATAACTTTTTATAATAAAAGTTTCGTATTTTAACTATAGTTTCAATAACAAAATTTGAAAATTCCAAGGTGAAACAATTTTACTATTAATTAACTATTAATTAACTTTTATTAACGATTACTATTAATAGTTATCACATGTAATCGTAAAATTGCAAAAAAAATCTTACTGGAAAGTTTTCGTAGAATTCGAAACTGTTCTTAGTTTGTTAAAATTCGACAAAGAAAACTCGGAAAATTTGAAAAAGAGCCAGCGGGTCAAAAGTCTTTACAGTTTTCCAGAATTTCTTGGATTTCTCTGCCGTAAGGAAAATTCGCTATAAAAACGATATTTCTTTTACAATTTTTTGAACAAAATTTGACAAATTAAAATCAAATTTTAGTTTGTGTAATCACAAAAATCTGTTCTTTTTTAAATTCGCCACTGAGAAAATATAAAAATTTAAATTAAAAAAAGCGAGAGAAGGTTTTGTCCTTTTCTTTTCAGAAAATGTTCAGAAAGATACTACGAATAAATTAAAACAGAAATTGTCGAAAGAATGCAACTTGAATGTTGAAATTGTTTCCAAGGTACCGTGAAATAATAACGATTTTTATCAACCCTGTTGTAAATGAAAAATGAAAATTGTAAAAAGAAAAAATGCAACTTACAGGCACAATAACACTGATTCGTGATACAAATGGCTTATTAGATTCCTGCCTTGGTTCTCCATCAACAGCACCACTTTCCAAATCTTCCCTTGACTCATAATCTTCATCGTCTTCGTCTTCGTCGTCAGATTCACTAACGTGAACAGTAACTTGATTGGTGTCCGATTTAATCCATTCAAAATAAACCCCAAATCCAATATCGTAACCGTCAGTTGCAAATTCCCAAAAGAGACACGAAGCATTATCTTGCGTTGGCACTCGAACTGTAATTGTTTTACCATGTCCAACTTTAATTACCGCATCGCCAGCTTCTTTTTTAATCATATTTTTAAAATCCTCCACTCCCTCTTTTGTCCACATTTGTGATGGTTCTATTGGCGGCCAATCTTGTTGCTCGTCAGAATCTTCTTCATTAACTCCTTCCTCATTCAAAAGTAAAGGTGCGTCTTCAGTTTCTTTAATTTTCATCTCGCCACTATTGTCACCACCTTTCAATGGTTCATGATCCTCAATGAGAATTTGATTTTGATGCAATTGTTGCATATATTTATGATAATGTTGTTCCTGCAATTGTCTTATGAGAACGCCTTGCTGTTCGGGATTACCTGGATATTGTTGTTCAGCGTAAGCACGAAATTGATGATAAGTTTGTTGATTAAGTGCCTCTTGTATTTGTCGCCTTTGATTTTCTTGTTTTAAACGTTCCTCCTCTTCTTTTTCCTTCTCCTCTTCGAGTTCTTTCAGTCTTTTTTCCTCCTCAACTTTTTTCACTTCCTCTTCTTTTTGTAAACGCTTCTTTTCTTCGATGTCACGTTTCAATGCTTCGACGACAGTTTTAAAAAGAGGACACAATTTATCGAGTAAAACAACAAAACCTTCCATTGCCTCGTCTTTTGTGATATCACCGAGATTTTGCCATGCCAATCTTCTGTCTTTTCCAATTACATCTAAAACACCTAAAGGCGGTGCATTTTCGGCAGTGCATTTTCCATGAGTTACTTGCTGTGTAAAGGCAACGAGTTTCAATTTATCTTCGTACGATAGATGAACTGCTTTTCCTTCTTTTTCTAGACAAAAAAAATTTTATTTATTTTAATATTTTATTTCAAAAAAAAAATATATATATGTATATATATATGTACATTTATGATAATTTTATGATGAGCCAAAAGTTTTGAACGTTCAAATGAACGAAATTTTTTTTGCAACTTCTTTAAGTATGAATTTCATTACAAAATTTTGTTTTAAATATCTAAGAAGTTATTAATTTAATAATTCTTTAATTTACTGTTTTCTTTTACATTGATATTATAATTTTTAATAATTTATAGATTAAACAAAAATATCGTTTATGTGAACAATCAGAACTTTTGGTTCAAATTTTATGTACATTTGTGCTGCAAATTTAAAAAAAAATAGAACTCGAATTTCAAAAAAAAACATTAAGCTTTGCAATGCCAATTATATGTAACTAAAAATAAACAATTATTTAAGATCAGAACAAAAAAAATTCAGACAACAATTTTAAAATCCTTTAGTAGTAATAAATTATTCAAATTTAAGTCCGATTTAAATTTAAAAAACGATTTTTAAACTAGAAATTTCAAAAAAAAATTTCAAAAAATTTTTGTTCGAATTGTGCGAGTTCAGCACAAAAAGAAACAAATAAAACATCTACGAAAAATTTTTTTAAAAGAGTTTAATTTAAAAGTTCAAAAATAGGTTTTTTTGTTCAGAATTATTAAAAAATTATTGCTTTGCAAAAATATATTTTTTTATAAATCTAAAAGTTTTCAACGTTTTTTAAATTTTTTACACTTACGGACCTAAGGCCATAAACTTAAAATATTTATGAATATTTCTAGATAAAAAAATATTTTATTGAATTTAAAAGTTGAATTATTTTCAAAAATTTTTAATTTTAAGTACATGTTTTATTTATTTATTTCATATCTATACAGTTATGTTGGAAAAAATCTCAGCTTTCAAATAAAAATAACAAAAAAAAATGTAGTTTAATCAAATATACAAAATATATTTTATAATTATTTCTTGTCTAAAAACAAAATTCACAAGAAAATTTAAACTACCAAAACTTTAGGATTGAACTTATTTCCAACCTATTGTGTATATTTTTCACGTAAAGATATGATATCGATATGATAAACAAAGTTAGTTCCGTTTTAAAAAATGATATTAATGTTTAATTAAATTTGCCACGTATGATGATAATTTTCTCTTACTTTTTAGTTTTCGTCAGTAAATATTTATAATAATAATTTTTGATCAATATGCATAACTAGACTTTTTAAATAAGTAAGCGACTTTAACTCAGTTCTTAGAGGTTATAACCTTATGCAGTACATCGACATTGAGAAGAAATTTAATGTGAGTTAGAGGTATATTACACAAGGGCAAGACTACTTCAACTGAATAATTTACAAGAATATGCCTGTGTTAAATGTCAATACTTTTATGGATTGCCAGTATATCGGTCGCGATGAATAAATAATACGAATGGATAAACACAAAATCTTAGTTGTTTAAACTGACATTGAAGCATTTTGATTAATAAAGATATATTTATGAAATAAAAAAAAGGGATAAGAGAAAAACAAAAAAAGTTTTTTAATTAATTAATGAGGGTTTTTTTTTAATTAAGTAAAATAAACGAGATAATCAACCCTATATTGTCAAAAAAAATACATATATAAAGCTAAAATGTCAAAATATTCTTACCTTTATAAAAGTTAAGGGCGATTTTATAAAGTTCCCGCATCTCGAAACCTGAGAGATGAGGTTCGAAAATTTTTGTACTTTTCGATTCATTTGAATCATTTTTAATTTTCTCATCGGATAATTCTAATTTTTCAATTTTTTCCTCCACCGCGGAGATGTTGTTGCCGTTCGTCGACGCCATTTGTAATTTACTGACACGTCAATGTGCAGTGATGCCAATAGTAAAACATCACCGTATAAGGTTTTATAAACACTGTCAATTTTCAAAAAATTCTAAAATCACTATCTTTCTGACAAATTTATTTAAAGTAAATAATAAAGGTTTGTTTATTTTCTTACTTTATAATTAAGTGAAATTCATATTAAATTGAAAAAATCAATAGCAATTGTTCAAATAATCTACCTTACAGTAATACCAATCACTAGGGGATAGCACTAGTCATATTTAAACATAATAAAATAATTTATTGATGAAATAATTAAAAAATAACATTTATTACAAACAAACAAAATTGAATATATTAATTTTAAATATTTTTAAAAATAAATAAACATGTCAGTAAGTTTTAAAAACCGAATAATTTTTAATATATAATAAAACACAGAGGTTTCTAATTTGACTAGTGTATTTGCTTTTATGAGAGGGAGTTTCAAAATACTTTCTTTTGATTTGATTATACGAAAAACAATAATGTTAATTTATTTTTTCAATTCACTTAAAATTCTTAATGTAAATTTGACAAATTTAAACCCCGTTTAAATGATTCTATTATTTGTTTCTAATGATTGTAAAACTAGAGATTTAAAAAAAATAAATATTTAAAGAAGATGAATTATAAAATATTGTAATGAACAATAATAAAAAATTTAATGTCTAATAAATAATTTTTGAATTTAATATTAAGACATTAAACTTTTTTCATATATTATAGACAATAATAATAATAATTTCTAAAAATGTATATGTAAAAAAATTACATTTTTCTTAAAAAGCAATGTTAAATTTTTATTAAAAAAATTTTAATATTAAATTAAAGACACAATTTTTCCATTAAAATTTTTTATTTTTATTTATTTATTTCTTAATTAAAAAAAGAAATTTAAAAAAATTTGACCATATCTTCTAAAATGTGGAGGGGAGAAATTAAAATGGGAACAGAGATCGATATGAAATAACTGTCATTTTTATTTGAAATTAATATAGATATAAGGCTAAGCAATTTTTTAGAATTTCTTATCAATACAAAGATAACAATTTTGCTTTGAACCAGAGATAAATATCCTATCAAATGCCACTAATAAATCTATATATACATATATATTGAAAGAAGGGCGAATGTTATGCCTAAAATTTTTAACATTTCTACATTTGAAAATTTTTTTTTTAAATTAATTTTAATATATGATCAATTTTTAATAAAATTAAAAAATTTTTTAAAGTTATTTTTAAAAATAAATTTTTATTTAAATTTAAATTTTAGTTTTTTATATAATTTTTAATTAATTTATTATTTATTTAAATTGTTATTTAAAAAAAAATTATTTATTTATTTTTTTAAGTAATTTATTTTAATAGTTATTCAAAAATATACAGTTATTAATAAAAATTATTATTTAAAAAAAAATGAATAAACATTTTATAATATTTAAGTATAATCGATTATATGAATGAAATAAAATTTTTTAAAGCACACTTTAGTTAAATTAACTTAATACATTCATTGAGCACTTAAAGATTTATATATATAGTTAAGTCAACCAAATGTTTCCTTCACGGTTAAAAATTTGTTTCACGTAACTAAATTTTTTTATCGATCAAATAAATTATTAAATTTAGACAAATATTTAAATCGAATTAATTTTTGGTTAGGTTAAATAAATAATATTTAAAATAACTTAACATACATATGATTATACAGAAAAAAATAATTTATCTGTCTGAAATATATTTTTTTTCTAATTGGCCAGAACACTCAAACAAATCCTGTAAATTAATTATTTATTTTTTAATTATAATATAATAAAATTATAAATTAATTTTATTAAAATATTTAGAATAATTAATAAATAATTATAATAAATTATTTAATACGTACTTTTGTGCATTCGTGATTATGGGTTAAATTCATATTTTTCACGAATAGGGCATCTCCCTCATTATTTGCTGCAAACATAATAAATGCTGGGCAATTTGTTTTGAAAGTCCTGGAAAAAGAAATGAAATTTTGTTATTATTAAAATTTTGTTTATTATAAATAAATTCCAAATTAATAAACTTTTTATTACCAGGACTCTCGATCACCAGTACTGGTGGATTGCATATTGTGGCCAACCTTTTTACAGCAGAGTTTGAGATTGTGATATTCTATTCCATCCTTTAAAACCTTTTTTCGCTTCTTCTTCAGCCCTTCAGCTTTAGATAAGCAATTTCGTTTATAAAAGATGGAATAGGTTTCATTTTGCAACTCATTCACCTTTTTTTCAAGTTCCGCTAAACTGGAAAACGTGTCTCCAATTTTGAGACGTCCGTTAGAAGTATTATTTCCTATAATATATACGTATTCACAAAATAAAAAAATGTATTTGTATTTCTAAAATTAATTTTATTTGGAAATTTAAATTTTAAATATTAAAAAATTAAATAAACTATTTATTAATAATTTATTAGAAAATAAATATATTGTAAAAAATTTTTCTTAAAAATTTAGTTTAAAAAAATTGTTTAAATTTTTTTCTGCAACAACATTAATTTAATAATTAATTAAATGAAATTAAAGAATAATAATAGAAAACAAATATGTCTCCAATTTTGAAACGTCCGTTAACGTATTATGTTCTAAAAATTTTTATTTTAAAATTTAAAGTTTAAATATAAAAAAAAAAAAATAAACTATTTTTTAATAATTTATTAGAAAATAATTATAACAACAATATTAAATAATAATTTAAAAATTGACGTACCTTCTACAGTTTCACAAATTTCACTCATTATTCAAATACTATAACGATAACTTTGATTATAATAATCTAATAACCACAAGGGTTGACACACGACTACACTCACGAAATACAAATTTTGGATAACAATAATTTTTGACAGTTGACAATACTCACCTTATTTAAACGAATAGTCTAAAATAAACAACCCTACCAAAACACTTCATTTTGGAGCTAATAAACTTTGTATTAAATCACATTTATATATTTAAATAAACGATTGCCTTATTTTAAATTGAATTTTATATACATTTTATATAATAAAATATATTTTATTATTCTAGAATAAATAAGTAAAATACAAATATATGTTAAATACATACTGAAAAATGAATAGTTTTCATTTTGATGATTTTTTAAAATAAGCGGGCTAAATAGCCAAAATCCCGTATTTCTCCCGCTAGCGGGCTAAATAATCTATCACCACTATTCCTCCCGTTAGCGGGCTAAATAGACACAGCGTATTTCTTAAACTAATAAGTGTCAGATTTTGTTATCAAAAGGCCAAGGGGAAAGAAGATGAAAAAGATTTTGTGAATTTTAATTTAAAAACTGTAGTAATTTCAATATAATTTACTTTCAGTTCGTTACAATGCAAAAGATGCAATTACAATTAAAAAAATTTAAAAAATTGGCTTTTACTGATTTGTTTAATCGATTTTTATTCAAATTCAACTGTCACTTTGAGGTTATGATGTTTTTCATGTAAAATTTCATATCGCCAAACATTCAGTTTTGATTAAATATTTAGCTATTATGGCGAAAAAATTCTTAGATACTGTTGTACTTTTTTCGGTTTACAAATAAACGAATATATTAAAAAAATGCGTTAAAAATCATATTTATAAAAATAGAATATACAAAAGTTGACAGGTAGTGTATTCGAAATATACATAGAGTTTGCGAAATATATTTGTGAAATAAAAAATTGACCAGAAAAATCCAGATTTAAATTTATCAGACTTTTATTTCGTTTAGACAGAATACAATCAATCTATTGTCACCAATATCAAATAGATCAAATAGATAACGTTGTCGGCGTTCCTATCTCTAATCTGGTAGCAACATTTTTGATAGAATGTATAGTTGATCAATATATTTCCTGAAATTATTATCAGTAAGTGAAAACATATGAATACGATCGGTTCAAATGTTAAACTGATTTCAGTGAAAATTTGTCAATTTTTTTATGTACCTTTTTTTTAAACATATATAGAGTATATTATAAGAATATTCCAATTTAAAAATTAATTATTAAAACAATTATTTGCTTGTAAACAAACTTAATTTAAAAAAAAATAACAATCCAAAATGAATAACCTATAGTAAATATGTACTAATTTAAAAAATTGAATAATAAAGTTTCATAATAAAATAAAAAATTGGTAAGACAAAAAATAAAATTAGTTTTTATAAAAAAATATAATGTTAAAATAATTTTTTAAACTAATATACATATTTGCAAGTAATTTTTGCTGTACAATATTTTTTTTGTATAAAAATCAATAATTTTATTTATTTACACAATTTTAAAGTTTTTTAATATTAAAAAATTTTTTACAACTTGTTTTATGTATTTTTTTTTGTCTCTTGTATAGAGCGAAAATTGAATAACATGTAACAATTATAATAATTTCATGTCAAATTGATAAAAATCTAAAGATATATAAAGTTCAAGAGTGAAAGTGTTTTAAATCATATAATATAAAATCCCGAAAGTTAAAAGAAAAAAGTTTTTTTTTTTTTTTGAGAAAGTGTCTCTTCAAAAAAATATATAACAAAATGACTTCCACTTTTGATGATTGCTATGATTCTTCTTGGCATTTAATTCCACCGGATTATGTTAGTAACGAAGAAGATTACAGGCAAGTATTATTTATCCTGCGAATACAAACGTCAACTTAAAAAAAAAAGAAAAACTAATTTTCTTCTTTTAAAAAAAAATGTCTTACCTATTTATTTTGTATGGGTACTATACAATAGATTTTATAAATTCGATGCACAGAAAAATAAAATAAGCCTAAATTTCTTTTTAATGTATCAAAAGTACAATTGTTATAAATAAGAAAGAAAAAATTAAAACTCAATAATTTTTTTGTGTTAATTTTATCTATTAATAATAAGAAATATTTATGAAATTTAATTATTGTATATTTTGACATAATGAAAAAAAAATTGCAATTTGCAATAAAGAGCGGAGTGTCTCTTTGAAAAAAAATGCAACCAAAAACGGAAATGAGCATTTAAGAGGGTCACGCATATTATAGGGTGACTGAATATAAAGTGGTACGTCATGTTACCAATGATGACTAAAATCGAAAGGGCCGATTGCAGAATATTGAGCACCTGTTGGTTTCCACCATAAATTTGAAAATAGCCGTAACTCGATCTATATGATGAGCATCGCTCATGTAACGATTATTATCCTCATCTAATCTTGTTAATTAATTTATTATTATCATTTTTATTTTTCATTTAAATTATCTTTATAGGGTATACACAAAAATTAAAATCTATATTATTTTTACACAAACATGTAGAATTTGATTTTAATTATATTTATTTGAAAAAAAATGTTATGTTATTATAAATTATTCTCTTTAATTACGAAAAATTATTATTTTTAATATTATAAGGGTTTATCAATATCAGAACATAATCTCAAAATAAAAATGCGCTTCATTTTGGAAAAATACTCGATAATTTTGTTGCAAATAAAAAAATATAATAATAAAATAGTTAAATATAAAAATTGAAAATTGTTGTTTACATATAATAAAACTTAATTTCAATTAATTTTGGAAGATTTAGTTATATTCACTTTTAAGAAAAAATTATGTTGAGTCTAAAAAATTATATTTTTAACATTTTGATTTTTTTAAGGCCAACGCAGAATAGAAACGTAACCGGAATCGTAACCGCAAACGCAACCGGAATAATGAGTTAGAGAAGGACAAACAATATGTCTATCCTTCTCTAACTCATTCTTCCATTTGCGTTTGCAATTACGACTTCGGTTACGTTTCTATTCTGCTCAGGCCTTTAATGAGTGAAATAAGCCATTAAATTTTTTTTTAGTCATTTTTCAGTTTTGAGGTTAATTTATAGCATAGTTTGTAAGTTTAATTCTAATATATGGAAAATATCTATCACTTTCATTTAAAAATATTAACGTTAATTTCCACTGGAAATCAAGTAGAACGTCCGAAATATGACATATTTTTATATTTTTTCCACCTGCTTCACCCTGCTTTTTTCTATTCTATAGTTGCCCGCCGTGTATCGAAAAAAGCTATCATTCCCTGCAAAGTGTCAAAATCGAACGTTCCACTGATTACTTTATAAATTTATTGTCAATAAGATTTTGACATGATTCTTAACCAAAAAAATTATTATTCGTGTACCGTGGATGTACCAGTTACCGTCCATGTCCCAGTTTCCGTCCATTTTACAAATATCTCGTATAGTAATTTAAATTATTTTTTAACAATAATTTATTCCTTTTGGCACACAATCGACTTATTAGTTTAAGTAAACAAATAAAAGAAAATAATTTTTTTATAAATGTTATTTTGAAAATTAAACTGGACGGAAACTAGGTCTTAGGTGGACGGTAACTGGGACATCCACGGTATATTTTATTCTATGTGTGTATTAAATTTACTATATTTTTATCCGTGTACACTTTGTATAAAAGTTTATTAAAAAAAACAGATATAAAAATAACATTTACAAAACACGCATAAAAGAATACGGTTATAAGACTGACAGCAGTTTGAAAACATTTGAGTAGTTGCCATGATAACATTTTATTTTCTATATGCTTTTCAAATTTCTTATACGGTAAAATATTTTTCGAGAATTTGACCGAATTAAGAGACATTCGTTCAATATACTGCGAGTACGTTGGGAAAATTAGAATTTTACAAACGCAAACAAATGAATGCAGATTTTGCTAACGGATATTTCTCGATTATTACGATTATTACATATAGTATTTTAATTTTATATTTCTTTTTATCACAAAAATGATAAAAAAATGAAATAATCGAAATTTTGTAAATGTAAATAATTTTATCAGTTTTCATTATTTAAATAAATAACTGTATATTGTACATTATTGTTACTTTTTATTAACCAAACAGGAAGTGTGAAAAAAATGAAATAAAAATAAAACGATTGAAATTGTAAGAAATATATAGGTAGAATTAAGAAAAAAAAAAGAAAACTAAAAAAGTCTTAAAAAATATAGGAAACGAGGGGATTTGGGCAATGAAAAGGAAAGCAAAACTGGTGGAAATAACTTCTTAAACGGTTCGTAAAAAAAGAAAACTGTCTCGTTTTGTAGTAAAAAGGGAGGTATTAACTAGCCGTACGAAGTTTGGGTCACGTTTTCAAGATTGGTGTGTGATGTTGAAGCTGTTGAGTGTATATACATGAGACCCTTGGGAGAAAAATGGCCCTCGAAGGGACACCCGTGGCGATTTCTACGAGGTCGCTACGAGACGTAGTACTACGTAATTCATTCATTCACAAACATACATATAGAGATACACATATATAGGACCCGCTGAGGCTTTCAAACCAATTTATGAATGAACGTAAAAACGCTATACTTTCATTCATGCTTCTGGCCTTTTTTTACCTCTTCTCCTTCTTCCTTCTTTTTTCACTTTGGATTCATTGGAATTTTGTCACCTTTACCCAAGAATGCCGGAAACTCATAGGAAATACTTTCAGTGCGGTCACATTCACATTTCCAAAAGGCATTAAAGCTGCATTCCTCTATTCTTTATTTATATCAAAAAAAAAAAAAAAAGTTTGTTCCCTTTTTGTGCAAAATGTATTTTAAAAGTGGAAAATTTCCTCTCTTTTCATTCAAATAATAAAATGTATATTTGCTCTTATATACAATTTTTATTTGTCTACAACAATAAAATCATGTAATAGGTTTCCATTTTTACGTTAAGAATACAGAGGAAAAAAAAATGTTCAAAATTTCTAAATCTGTGTTTTTAGAAATGTGATAGAAAAGTCAGTTGAGCTCAATTTTTTCTTTTTTTTTTTTTTGAAAGTCAAATAGAGTTTAAAAGTTTTCTCAATGAGTACTTATATCCTATTGAATTTTTTGAGAATTTTAATACTTTCGAGGGTATAAGGATAAAGAATTCGAGGAATTGAAAAGTTGAATTTTTTGAAATTATTCTGAAAGCTTGACTCGAAATATGAAAAAAACTCGAAATTTTGAATATAAATCTTTTTGAACAAGCTTAGAATTTTCAAATTCTTGATGCTGAAAGTCTACAACGTTTATGATCAACGATTAGAAAACAAATTATTTTTTCAAACGGAGAATTATAAAATTTTTATCTAAAAAAATGTTTTTTTTAAAATAATTTTTAAACAATGAAAAAAAATCGATAAAATAGAAATTTTATTGAATGAA